TTTTTTTTCATGATTTTGCACGACATACTATAATATGACCTTTTTTTTCATGATTTTGGACAACATGCTATACTATGACTTTTTTTTCATGATTTTGGACGACATACTATATTATGACGTTTATTTAGGATTTTGGACGACATACTATACTATGACTTTTTTTCATGATGTTGGACCACATGCTATATTATGACGTTTTTTTATGATTTTGGACCACATCCTATACTATGATGTTTTTTTCATGATTTTGGTCAACATGCTATACTATGACGTTTGTTTTTTCATGATTTTGTACGACATACTAAACTATGACCTTTTTTATGATTTTGGACAACATGCTATACTATGCCTTTTTTCATGATTTTGGACAACATGCTATACTATAACGTTTTTTTTCATGATTTTGGACGACATGCTATAATATGACTTTTTTTTCATGATTTTGGACGACATGCTATACAATGACGTTTTTTTTTCATGATTTTGGACGACATGCTATACTATGACGTTTTTTTTCATGATTTTGCACGACATACTATGACTTTTTTTCATGATTTTGGACGACATGCTATACTATGACGTTTTTTTTCATGATTTTGGACGACATGCTATAATATGACTTTTTTCATGATTTTGGACAACATGCTGTAATATGACTTTTTTTCATGATTTTGGACGACATACTATACTATGACGTTTGTTTTTCATGATTTTGGACCACATACTATACTATGACTTTTATTATGATTTTTGACGATTGGATGATATATATACTATACTATGATATTCATTTCCCCAAGACACACAGCTTTGGCATGAAATCATCAAAATCAGTTGAGTGGGTTAAAACAACAGTGAACTATTGTATGAGCAGGTTGCAAATTAAGATGAAGATTTTCTTACCTCTTGCTGTCATTCGGAGGTGTTAACCCAAGACTGATGGTGTTTAAACCCCAATAAAGGTATAAAGACTAATAACGTTGTTCTCTTCCAAGGTGGTGGAGGAGCTTCTGTCAAAAAGTGGAGCCATCGGGCTGGAAGCTGCCAAGGCGATAGCAGATGCTGCCATGTTGGAAGTGGCGAGCACAAATGTGCCCCACATGGTAATGGAACTCACCAGACCTAAACTGCTAAAATAAATTCTCACAGTCTGATATCTGCAGCAAAGTAACACTTTCATTTGTTTTTTTATCATTTCAGGCCCCAGATGATTTCTATGAAGGAATTACGTTTGAGCATTTTGAGCAGGTTTGTATGTTTACAATTTTATGGTCCACCTGATGAAAAATATGACACTTATTTTTTTCTACGTGCTTATGGCAATATGTTATCTGCCCACAGATTTTAAAAGGGCTTGAAATGGAGACCAGGATGCACATCCGCTTTTTGTAGACACCATGACAATGCATTGTGGGAAATCAACCTCTTGAAGTTGTTTTTGTAAAGAAATGTTTATGTTGCTGCTGTTTTTAGCAGAGCCTCTCTGGTCCTTAAATGGAGTGAAGCCAAACACTTGATGTGCACTAATATATTTTTGGATGGATTGAAAGAATTATAAACCTAACAATACTTAAAGTACATTTGTTTACAAATTAAAGACTGACAAGATGGTTAAAGTATCCGAGTAAAAAGACATTTACTTCCATAGTTCACTTTCAAGCCGAAAGAAGTCAGTTTCACAATGGTGTTTCATTCAGTTTTAAAGCATTGTGATCCTACAAGTAGAGTGTCACATATTTCAAAGAGATTTGTTTCTCGTTGTTTATCACACTCCTACTAATTTTATCAGGTTTCACACTAACCCTCTACCTCTCTTGCTATTCTACCAATCTTTATGTAACCAGCATGCAATGTGAATGATTCTTTGTACCAAAAAGGTTCATGTGTTAGATGAAGTCGGCCATGCTCAGTGACTGCTCTGGCATTCATGGGTCATCTGTTATGGCCAGCATCCAAAGACTGAAACTGGGGGCGCATACCATTCCTCTGAAGCTCCAGAATAGTTACAGGTTTAATTTTCTGTTCCTCTGGGACCCTTTATAACCAACCACTGCTGTTCTTCCTTGAAAGTCTATTTTTGGATTCTACTGAGTAAACCTAACACTTTTCATGAGATGAATTATTACAGACTTTGTACTAAATTGTATAAATGAACAAAATAAATTCAAGACATTTGATAAAACAAATGTGTTCAGTTTTTTTGCTGAGACTACTAACAAATGTACTAAGAAAAATTTTACTCAGTGAATGAGGTAAAAATGTGACTTTTTATTGCTGTGATGATGCACAGTGACACCGAATCAAATCCAGGAATAAAAATTGATTAAAAATTGATTAATTTTACTGTAATGGTTTACACGTCTGTGATCCTGTGCAACATCTAGGCAGCTTCTACACTGTAAATTACAAATACCAGCAGTTACAGATAACATACACTGACATGTTACATTTCCAAGAAGCTTGATTTGACTTGCATGATAAAAGGAAAGAAATTAAATAAAAGATTACAGTTTGGAAAATCAAACTGATCAATGGTAAAAGTCTTTTTTTGTTCCTTCAGTCACTCACTGAGTCCAGTTACAGTTTGGAAAACTGTATATCAGTGGGATGGATGGGAGCCAGACAGCCTGTCATAAGGCACAGCCAGGCCGATGTTGTAGTTGTATCCGGTTGACTCAGTGTAGTCGGACCTGCAGATGGGAAGGATGTGATCCTGTGACAACGCATCCTCAGAGAAGTCATAATGGCAGATGACTCCCCTGTGTCTGAAGGATAAAAACATTTATATGAGCAACAATATTAACAACGGAGATATTAGTTGTTTCACTTTTTAAAGAAAAAGTTAAAACTGGAGCAGACATAATTCAGTTTGTTACATGCTGGTTTGCAGGCATTAAGAAAACAATCCCACTGTGAAGAGCAGCAGGTTGTCTGGGAGATGTGGTCCCAATTTAATTTTGAGAAAGTGGGAAATTAATGACACAAGTGGCATGAGACAGGCTTCCAGCCATTCTAACAACTACCCCATTTGTAATAACAAGGTACTGTAATTACTTTGACAATGGCAATGGTATATATATATTTCCATTTAAACAGTTATATTAAGAAATTAACATTTTGGGAAATGCACTCATTTTTTTCTTTTCTTCTTTCTTTCTTGAGTCATACTATGTCATACCATGCTATGATATTTTGTATACAGATTTTATGGCAGTCTATACTGATCATTTTTATGGCATACTACACTATGACATTTATTTTTATGTCATGATATTTTTTATGGCATATTTTACCATGACATTTCTTCTGAAATTGTGTGGCATATTATACTATGACATGTTTTCTGACATACTACATATGACATTTTTTTTGACAATATACTGACATTTTTTGACATACTATACTATGACATTTTTTTGACATAATATACTATGACATTTTTTGACATACTACACTATGACACTTTTTGACATAATATACTATGACATTTTTTGACATAATGTACTATGACATTTTTTGACATACTATACTATGACATTTTTAATGACATACTATACTATGACATTTTTTATGACATAATATACTATGGCATTTTTTGACATAATATACTATGACATTTTTTATGGCATACTATACTATGACATGTTTTCTGACATACTACATATGACATTTTTATGACGTACTATACTATGACATTGACATACTACACTATGACATGTTTTATGACATACTACGTATGACATTTTTATGACGTACTATACTATGACATTGTTTGACATACTATACTATGACACTTTTTGACATAATATACTATGACATTTTTTGACATACTATACTATGACACTTTTTGACATACTATACTATGACATTTTTTATGACATACTATACTATACTATGACATTTTTTGGCATACTATACTATGACATGTTTTATGACATACTACGTATGACATTTTTATGACGTACTATACTATGACATTGTTTGACATACTATACTATGACATGTTTTCTGACATACTACATGACATTTTTATGACGTACTATACTATGACATTGTTTGACATACTATACTATGACATTTTAAATGACTTTTTTTTTTTTAATGAAAATTATACGGCATACTATTCTGTGACATTTATATGAATTTTTTATGGCATACTTTACCATGAAATTTCTTATGAATTTTTTTTGTCAGACTATACTTTTATATTTTTTTAATGAAAATTGAATGGCAGTCTAAACTATGACATTTATTATGAAAATATTTTGGCATACTGTACTATGGTATTTTTTTATTACATACTATACTATGACATTTTCTATAAAAATATATGGCATACTATACGATGGCATTTTGTTATGAAATATTCATGGCATACTATACTATGAAAGTTTTTAACATACTATACCTTGACTTTTATGTTACGCATTTTGTATGACTTTTTATGGCATATGCCTTTGCTTCTATAAATCCAAAGGTACAGAGAAGCAGTGAATGAGCACACTGAGTATTTCTGACTCAGAGAGTCTTGTGGGAAATGGGAGGTGGATGTCAAGAAAAATTCCAGGTTAAACAAAGAAGAAGAAGAAGAAGAGTGTGGGAGGGAGATCAGTGACCTTCGGTGAGCTGTAAGGTCATCGTCTGTGATGCAGGCCCCCCTTGGCGACTTGTCATCCGGGATGTTGGCTGTTACAAGGGTGCTGGTGTTGAAGTGTACATGCCTTACAGGATGTCTGCAGCCGAGATAGAAAACAACACCTTTAGTAGAAAATATATAAATATTTTTTTTTACTTGTGCGTGTGAGTCTTTCTGTACAAATAGTTCTTGAGCAAATGTAAAGATGTTTAAATGTCCCAATTTTATTCCTTACATGTGACGCAAAATTAAAAAGGACCTATTATGCTCACTTTTAGGTTCATACTTTCATTAAACGCTTCTACTAGAGCATGTTTACATTCTTTAAAACACTTGATTTTCCTCATACTGTCTGTGCTGGACCGTCTGTATTCACCCTCTGTCTGACACTATCTGTTTAGCGCCTGTCTCTCTAAGTCCACTTCATGAAATAAAAGCCCAGTCTGCTCTAATTGGTCAGCGCTTCTTGGTCTACTGCACCTTTGTGTCTCTGCACCACCATTGTGGCCAGAGAATGACTGTAATGGAGAATACTGGCACTTTCTCTTCTTAAAAATCACCAGTAGAAGCTTCTAAACACAACCTGACATGAGCTGAAATCTGGGAGAAATAACAACATCAGCAACCAAGATGATATGTTTCACTGACGTTAATATGCGGCTACAAGTAGCAGTGTAATTACAGCCGGGGAATGACTGTGCATAGTAGCATTTTCTCCCGTTTAAAATCACCAATAAAAGCTTCTAAACACAACAGGACATGGTCCGGCACAAATATGAATAAGTTTATAATATCAGCATCCATGTTTAATTGTTTCCCTGATGTTAGCATGTAGCAGTGCAGGCTACGTAATGTTGACACTTGTATTAGCCTGCCTGGAGCAGATGACCGTATAAAGAAATCTGTCATGAGGTCATCTTTTAGCCAAAAAAACCTTGGAAACAGAGTATTAACAGAGCACTATTGCATAGATTTACCTCATTATTTGAAACTTTGGTCACATTTAATATGAACACCAATCCTTGTAATAGTATATATGTCAGAAAATAAGGAATAATAGCTCCCCTTTAATGTTTTCTAATAAATGAACAGCTTAAAGCTTCAATCACATCTTCCTTTAATTTGGACCATGTGCATGTGGCACTAAATTTGTTTCAAAATAAAAGCCTGTATGCAACTTATATTTGTTATGCAGACTATAAAGAATTTGTCAAAACTGCATTGAAATAAACATATCACTCATCAGTTAATGTGCACTTGTGTTTAATCAGAGTATCTTCTCTCAGTGACTCAGGGGAAAGACAGTCCCACCTGTTGTGCATCTCCCACAGCTTCGCTCCCATCCTCATCTCCCACACGCACACCAATCCTTCGCCTCCACCACTCACAATCTTCCAGTCGTCTGCCTGCACCGAGGTGACGCCCAGGTGGTGGGCGTACAGGGACGCTACAGAGGAGCCAGCTCGTAGGTCAAACACCCTCACCCTGAAACAGAGCGGAGATGAACAAAGGATCTGTTGAGAAATGTGGTGCTTTTTTGTGCAATGTCAAGGTAATTAGGTCAACTGAGAAACATGATGCTTTCTATTATGGGTCAAACTACATCAATATGAGCCTATCACTTGGTATGTTTTATATTGCTAAATTCTTTTTTAGGAATTTCTCTGGAGTGATTTAAAGGGAGTCAAATAAAAGAATAAGAAGTGAAGTGAGTACAATAGAATCAGTCATTTCGAGTGAAGCGTGGTAATTTGGGATTTCACTTCCTGCTCACAGACACGCAGAACTCCAAGACCGCACAAGAGACGGAGAGTACTGTTTGTCAAAGAGAGCATTCATTTACAGACAAAAGGACACTATTCTCACTTCTGAAGGAACTTTCAACATTCAGCCAAGAGACCAAAGACAAATATCAAGTGAAGCAGATGTGCCAATGAAAGCTTTAGTTCCAGCCTTATTTACCCTGAACTTAATCCAAATATGACATTATTTAATCTCCTCTCAGCAGAATATATCTGCCACAGTGTGACATAAGGACAGAAACCAACAAAACAAGAACTGATGTAATGTAACTGTAGATAAAGCTTGAGACATCCACTATGGTACAAGTGGAGTATTGCAACAGTGGGTCAGAGGAAGAGGCAAAAAAAAAAAGAAAGCTATGTAACAGAATTTAGATTTGAGCTGATCAAGTAGGAGGTGTTAAACATGAAGCAGTTCAACATTTAAACTCTGCGGAACAGTAAAAAAAAAAAATGAATCAACAAAACAAAAACACAGATAAAAGGCATGGGGATGCAAAATGACAGACACAGGAAGTGTCTACGCTCAGCAGTCAGACAGGAGTCAGGTTAATTTCCAGGGCTGGTGCCTGTGGTTATTCCACAGGCTAGTTAATAACATGTCGGGCAGGAAATCCAAAGTGTGGGATCATTTTGAGAAGGTGAAGGACGAACCCAAGGTGATATGTAAACTCATCTTCATTGGTCGACTACAAACATGACGTATCATCTGAAACATGGAAGTAGCTACATGCCCATTAGCCT